CATAGTACACCACTTGTCAGCCATGATTAGTATTTAATAGGTAAAATGATGTAAATAGTGAAAAAATTATTTAACTATAAAGAAATATTGGAAGGGTGGAGGATAATTGTGGTGTTGAGGGTGGGATAGGGGCAAAAGAGAACCCAGTCCTCTTCTTACATAATGGGAAATCAATAAATGATGCATTAAAGTGAAAATTACAGAACTAACAATACAAGCAGGTTATTTAGAGAAAGAGAAGTAAACACCCTCTTACCCCCCAAAAATCCTCTGATGAAATGTTTGCCTTTAGAGAATAGGAAATGGGACAGGGCAGGCAAGTATGAGAGACCTCTATTTATTGCCATTAGTCTTTAGAACTAATGATTATTTAAACTCTTTACATATTTAACTGTGATAAAAAGAAAACATTTTTAAAAGAGCCAGAAACATAATTTAGAAGATATTTATACTTATCTTCCTCTACAGTCCAGATTGGCTTGATAATGATGATTAGTGAAGAATAGAGAGGAGCTTAGAGACATCAAAATCCTGTGAAAAGTCATATGTAGTATGTTATCATTGAGAACAAGACAAAGCATGGGAGCCAATGTAAAGTAGGGAGTAAGGAGAAGGTACTATTTCAGTGGAACACAAATACAGTATATTCAGATCTGCTAGAAGCTGAATGTTACTGGGTCTTGTGCATATCTGTCAGCCCTGCAACTAAATATCTGAAATTTAGTTTTGATCACCAAGGAGAGAATGGGGAGTGTAAGTTTAAAAACCATCCCCTCACCTATTGATAGCCACTTACTTTGGGCACTTCTCATTATTTATAGGTGAATAAAAAGTAAACCTTAAGTAAACTATTGCTGAGTAAGGAAAAGGGTAGCATCTGGGAGGTGCAAAAAAAATAATAAGTTTTCAGAAAGTTTTTACATATGTCAACTAAAGGAAGACCTGTCTCCATTCAACAAGAGCAGTCATAAGGAAACAGAATAAAGTGGTATCAGGATGAAATGTAAAGGAAAATTGGTAAAGAGGAGCTAAAAGGATTTTTTTAAAGCTAAATAAAAAAAACACATTGAACAATAAAGAACAGAATTGTTACTAAGAAAAATTGGATCAGTCTTTAGAGAAGAACTGGAAAGTTTCAAATGCATTGCCAGGTTTGGACTCAACATCATGGTCACATAGAGGGAAAAAAGAATGCATAGGATGAAACATCAGCACACTGCCATCATCTAAATATTGGGTTGGCCAGAAAGTTCATTTGGTGTTTTTCCATAAGATGGCTCTAGTGGCACTTAGTGTGTTTAACTTCATTAGAAACAATTTTGTTAGATTGTATTGTAATAGCTTGCATTTTTTTAAAGATTTTTATGTATTTTTAGAGAGGGAGAGGGAGAGGGAGAGAGAGAGAGAGGGAGAGAGGGAGAGGGAGAGGGAGGGAGAGAAAGAGAGAGAAACATCAATGTGTGGTTGCTGGGGGTTATGGCCTGCAACCCAGGAATGTACCCTGGCTGGGAATCGAACCTAGGACACTTTGGTCCCCAGCCCGCACTCAATCCACTGAGCTACGCCAGCCAGGGCTTAGGTAGGATTGTTTTTCATAGGAATCAGAAAAGCCTCTTTGCCCTCAGTGTTATTAGTTTGGGACAGTGGTCAGAGACTGCAAGAAGGACAGTAGCCTAGGATCAATGAAAGAACAAAGGGAAGTAAATGAGGAAGGAGGAAAGAAAACTAAGGTAGTACGTGTTAAATATTTATTACTTTGGGCTCTGGAATCAGACTACCTGGTTGTGATCCCAACTCTGGCCCTGTCATTTACTAGATATGTGACCTAAGGCCAAATATATATCTTCTGTGTGTCTCAGTTTCTTAACTTGTAAAAGGGGATAATAATTGAACCTGCTTCATAGAGTTGGTATGAGGATTAAATAAATTAATCAGTGACAGGTGATAAATGCATAGTAAACACATGTGTATCATCACCACTATCACAAATAGTCCTGACAGTCCTGCATGTGTACTCTCTTTCCCTGGCTGCCCCCTTCACCCTCTGTTGGAAATAAGCATTTCAACCTTTCTCTCTCTCTCCCTCTAATAATTCCACCTCCTCCTTCACAGAGTCAACAGTAGCTACCATAAGAACTACCTCTCTTTCCTACCAGGAAACGTTCTGTCTTCCTTCCTGCACTTTGGGTTCTCAGCTCCTGCCTTCTCAGGAACTTTTTACTCATCTCTTTTCTCTCAGATATTACACTTATCTTCTTCCTCTTCTGTGGAACCCTTCCACTGGCATATAAACAGGCTCAAATCTTATGTTTAAAAAAATAAAATGAAACTTCCTCAATCCCACCTCTCCCTGAAACTGCCTTTCTTCATCTACCTCTGTTCCCTCCCTCATTGTCTTTTCCCAGTCCCTACTCCAAAGGTGTTTCTAGACTCCAAGTGTACATTTCCTCCCCACCATTCACTGTTAAGGCAAGCCAATTGAATTTCTGCTTCCAGAGTTCTACTGACATGGACCATTCGTGATTTCCATATTGTTAACTAAATTGACATTTTCAGTCTTCATCTTGTCACATTATTGAGTACTTCCTGTTGTTTGAAATACTCTTCTCTTGGCATCTACGGCAATACTTTTTTTGTTTTCTTCACGTCTCTTTGTCCTTTAAAGGCTCATGTTCCTTTATGTAGGCATTAATTATAGGCATTCCTTAAGGCTTGTTTGTCTTTTCTGTGTACTGTCTCTCCCTAACACCATCTCATTTGTGCTTAGGGCTTCAGTTACCACCTATTGGCTCTCAAATTCATTTCTCCAACCCTGAACTCCAAACTTCCAAATCTATGTGCCTACTCTGCATCTCCACTTAGATGTCTCAACAGAACTTCAAATCCAACATATCTAAAGCATAATACATTATTTTTTCCTGCACTCTTCTTACCACATCATCTCTTTCAGAAACCCTTATTCTCCTTAAGTTATTATGTGTCTTTGTGATTGACACCATCATTATTCAGTTGTGTGAGCTAAGGAACATAGGGGTAATTCTTCACACCAGACCTATTCCTCCACTCACCACATCCAGTCTATCACCAGGTCCTTCAGATTACCTGTCTCCACTCCTTTTATCTCCATTGATTCCCTAGGGCAGAGTACCATCATCTCACACTTACATTAATGCATTAGGCTCCAAACTGATTCCTGTTTCCTATTTACTTAGACTATTTACAAATTGACTTAAAAAATCTATTTACATACATCTTATCTCATTAATGTACTCATATTAGTTATGTGGGGGCAAGAGTGCTATCTGAGAATTACACTAAAATTCAAAATTAGCAAGATTATTTTACTATCTTTTTGTTCTACTTTCTGCACTAGGATCCTCTGGTATATTAGGACAAGCCATGCTTCCTACCACCTCAGGTTCTTTACATATCTTTTTTTTTAAGATTTTATTTATTTACTTTTAGAGAGAATGGAAGGGAGGGAGAAAGAGGGAAACATCAAAGTGTGGTAGCCTTTCACACACCCCCTACTGGGGACCTGACCCACAACCCTTTGGTTCCCAGGCCAGCACTCAGTACACTGAGCCACCACCATCCAGTGCTGCATATGATCTTCTGTTTACCTAAAACCTTCACCCTTTACCCCTGTCCCTTTTCCTAAAACTCCTATTTATTCTTCAGCTCTCAGTTCAAATAGCACTTCATAAGAGAGCTGTTCCCAAACTCCTAGACCATGACTCTTTCTGTTGTATGTTGTTATAGCACCTTGTACTCTTCTTTCAGAACACTTGTCAGAGTTTTAACTTTATTGTTATTTTTCTTATTATGAATAGTTTCCCTGACTATCAGCTCCAAGAGTACATAGAACAATGTCTGGTTTTGCTGGCACTGTATTCCTTAGCACATAATGCAAGTAACTAGAATATAGCAGATGCTTAGTTATTACTTTTACATTAACATCTTCGATTATGTTAGTGTCATATCTTCGTGGTTTTCATGGGTGTTGATTTATTTCATTTCTAGATTGACTTTGCATGTGTCTACTTATGTTGATTTTGTTAAATTTTATATTGTGATTGTCAAATGGTACTATTTTTTCTTCTATTTCTAAATTATTGGGGTTACCTTCATTGTGGCCAACATATAACTATACTAATTTATTGATGGAAATGTTGCATGAAAATTAATTTTTAAGTCACATTTTAAGTGGTCTGGGAAAGCTTGATGTTTAAAGAAGTTTTAGTTGAAGCCATTTTGTAAGATAATTATCCACTATTATGTCACATTTTTTAAAGCAAAATTTTTATTTTAGAGTGTTATTTTACTAGAGCCATCACATTAGTAATTGTTCCTATAAAAGATAATGGGAAAATTATTTTCTTTGATTCTGCAGTGTTATTTTTACAAAGTGACTGCTTTGTACTGGGTATAATTTATCTTGAAATGACTGCTTTTACTGGATATAATCTGTCATTTTCATTTCATGTAACAGATGGTGGTTACAGTAGAAGAGGTTTTAGTTTTATTTATATCAGAATCTAAGAGCTTATATATTTGTTTCATATGATCTTTATTAGCAAATGTATATATATTCTAGGTATAAGTATACTTACACAGAAGGTATTTATAAGCTTAGGTAATAGTTTAACTGTTATATTTGCAGTTCCATTAAATGCCAGAATCATGTGACCTTGCAGAAAAGACAGTTATTTGTTCTAGTTGGGTTAAATTCCTGATAGTGATGTGAGCACAGCTGGTGGAGGATGGTGTTTCTGTGCGTCTCAGAAAATCCTTTGTCTTGTGCAGCTCTGATGCTCAAGGGGCACACTGCACTTTCCTCTTGCCGACCATGCTGGAGAAGTCTGAAGTGCAATTCCATGCCTTTGTAAACCTGTATAATCGATGCATTCAGAGCTTTGAAACAAGAGAGCAAAGAAAGCTGTGAGCTAAAAAAGCATGCACCATTTTTGTGTGTAACGATGTCAACTCCATATTAACAGAGGTCATCTCAGAACAAGCACGAAGCTGGCTCACATGAAGCTGAGCGGCAGAATGAAGGTCAAGGAGTGGCAGAAATCAACATGGCAACTTCTGGTAGTGGTCAGGTAAATAAACTATTTTATTGTTTTTTTAAAATTAACTATTTAAATATTTTAAAAGGAACATTTTAAAATAAAAGGAGTGATACGATCCTGTGAATGATCCATAAATCTTGCTTGTTTCCTAACTCCCGAATGGATATCTTCAGAAGAATTCAGTACCAAATGCTATAGGAATTTTTCTTCATTATATCTAACAATAACGATTTCAAGTTTCTAAGTATATCTTATAGTCTAAATTATGTGTTTCTGTTTTAGTCTAAAATGTTTGGTGTGAGTAGAATTTTTGAAAAATAAATACTAAGCTGCATTTTGGTTATATGTGTGATTTGACCTAGTTATTACTGCTTGCATTGAGTAGATTTGCTCTTTCTCTAAGGCATTCTTGGCAAAGATATTTTTATGTTTTTTTTTAAAAGCTACTAAGAACTTTGTTACAGTTCTTGCTTTCTCTTGTACTTCAAGATTACATAAATCTATAAATCCAAGTCTTATCTTTGAAAAGATGATTCTACTGCTCACTAAAAGAGTCATAACCTAGTCATGTTCAACTATTAACACATCATTTTTAGCAACATTATGGAAGTTAACTTAATTTTTTTTTTAAATATAAAACTATTACGGTGCTACCATCAATTTGTTATTGGTTTTATTGGATGCATCCTAATATGACAGAATTTTTCTTTGGGGTTTTCTGTGTGCTCAATAAATATTTTTATTGAAAAATAAAATAATATTTTATGCTGTAAGTGAACAACTTTTTAAAAATAGAATTTCATTAAGTTGGTTGTTAGGTGATTTTTCTGTTGTTGATATAAAGTATTTCTTTAGTGTCTATAGGTTACTTTTGATATTATGTATACAAAATATAATGCTTCTGTTAATTAAAACTTAAAGCTTAAAACATCTCATACTTAAATATTTAAATTTATTTTACTAAGTTAAAATAAAGAGGTATTTTATTAGTACTACTAGTTAGCATTGCAGGGGGAAAACTCGTAAGTTATAGGTGGTAAATTAGTGCAAAAGTAATTACATTTAAATAGCACATTTGAGTTATTTCTTTGTTGTTTAGGGAATTATTTGGGAAGCTTATGTGTTTCTACACATATGCAGGAAGAAGGAAAGTTCCTTCTTGGCAGAAAACAATTCTCTCCTTAGTATTAGACTTACCATTAGTGCTTTGGGCCATGTTGCAATTATTATATAAAGTCTTATCTATCCAATAATCTGAATAGCCATTTAAAAAATAATTGAATCCCTTACTACACTTCTTTCATTAGAATTAATCCTATATTGATTAGATTTAATGTTAAAAATGAAAACTACTAAAACTATTAAAAGATTAGAAGAAAATGTGGGTAGAATTTTTATAATCATGAGGTAGATGGGAAACTGTAAAAAAACAGGATCAATAGGTTTCACATAAAGATGTAAAACTTCAGTGTGGCATAAAATCATAGTAAGGTCACACAACAAACAAAAACTAAGATCATAGCCCTGGCCGGGTAGGTCAGTTAGTTAGAGCATTGACCCGATATGCCAAGGTTGAGGGTTCAGTCTCCCACCAGGGTACATACAGGAAGCAACCAATGAATGCATAAATAAGTAGAACAAAAATTCATTGTGTGTGTCTCTTCCTACCCACTCTTCATTCTCTCCTCCCTCCCTTCTTCTTCCTCTCTTTCTAAAATCAATAAATTTAAAAAAAAACTTAAAAAGCAAGTCATGTTATTTATAAATGTTTATAACACTGAAAAGTTAAAATTCAAAATATATAAAGAGGAGGGGTGTGAGATTAAATGGTAATGGAAAAAATACAATAAAGATTAAATTAAAAATAAACTACTTAAAGACTGTCAAAACATGGGGGAAAGGCATGAACAGGAATTAAAAGGAAATAGAAATGATGTACACATGTGGAAAGTAGCCAGCCAGTGTGACTCAATTGGTTGGAGCCTCGTCCCGTTCACCAAGGTCTCAGGTTTGATTCCTGTTCAGGGCACATGCCTAGATTGTGGGTTTGGTTCCCATTTGGGGGGTGTGTGGGAGACAACCTATTAATATTTCTCTCACATTGATGTTTCTCTTTCTCTCTCTCTCTCTGGAATCAAATATATTTTTAAAAATTTTTTAAAAACATGAAAATAGTAACAATCTATAAACCACAACCAAAATGAGATCTTTTTGGAGCCGTTTGGATTGGCAAAGATCAATAACACTCAGTCTTGGTAATGGTTAACAAGCAATCTGTGTGAAATTAAACACCGTTCTGAAGAGCAGTTTTGTAATATGTATTGAAATTTGTAATGCACCAGGCCTGTAGCTCATAATTGCAGAATCTAACATTGTACTCTAATAACGTAATCAGTAAAGAGTGCTGAGACATGTTTGAAGAGATTCATCATAATATTGATAATAGCAAAAATAGAAAGAACCTGAAATGTACATTAATCAATAAATAACTAGTTAAATTAACAGTCAACTCTGGATAAATGGTCAAGTGGCTCTGGAGTCAGCATATGTGGTGTTAAATCCCACTCCCTCGCCAAGCAGCTAAGAGACTAAACTTAGACAAGTAATCTCTGAGCTTTAGTGTTTCCTCTTTGTAAAATAACATGATATGGTTTTGAGAGTTAAGTGCAATGTGCATTTATCATAGTCCCTTACATATAGTAGATACTCATTAAAGGTAACATTGTTGTTGTCAATAACTATTAATAGTTCTTTTTAAAGAAATAAATATTTTGTGCCAGATATTGTATTAGACTCTGGAGACAGAAAACTGAAGAAGACAGACAGTCTCTGGCCTCGTAGAACTGATGCAGTACATCCATGTAAATATTAAAAATGACAACTTACAGCCAAGATGGGGGCTTAGGTAGATACACTGTGCCTCTTTGCACAACTGAAAGAAGGATAACAACAAATTTAAAAACAAAAACCAACTAGAACTGACAGAAAATCAAACTATATGGAAGTCCAATAACCAAGGAGTTAAAGAGGAAACATTCATTCAGATCAGTAGGAAGGATGGAGACAGGAAGCCAGGCAGAGAAGACTAATGGCAAAGCGGCAGCTGGAAGACCAGGACAGGCAAGGTGGCGGCTGGCAGAGTGAGTGGTCCCACATTTGTGTGCAAATAAACTGGGAGGAACAACTACGGAGTAAGATAGACCACACAACCCAGAGTTCCAGCATGGGAAAATAAAACCTCAAAACCTCTGACTGAAAAAACCTGTGGGGGTTCAGGTGGTGGAAGAAACTCCCTCACAGGAGAGTTTGTTAGAGAGGGTCCTAGAATGTACACAAGCCCACCCACCTGAGAATCAGCACCAGAAGGGCCCCATTTGCTTGTGAGTAGCAGTGGAAGTGACTGAAAGCTGGCTGATCAAGTAGCATTATTCCCTCTCGGACCCCTCCACCATGTACATTGCCACAACCCAGCAACCTGTGTTGCCCCACCCTGGCAAATACATAAGGCTCCGTTCCTTACTATGTAATAGGTGTGCAAGACACACACAAAAAAAATAGCCCAGTGAAAGAACAGATGAAAGCTCCAGAAAAATACAACTAAGCAATGAAGAGATCACCAACCTATCAGATACACGTTCAAAACACTGGTAATCAGGATGCTCACAGAATTGGTTGAGTACGGTCACAAAACAGAGGAATAAGTGAAGGCTATGCAGAGTGAAATAAAGGAAAATGTACAGGGAACCAACAGTGAAGGGAAGAAAACCAGGAATCACAAGGACTGGACCTTCTTTCTGGCTTCAACCAGAAGGAAGAAATAAACATTCAACCAGAGCAGAATGAAGAAACAAGAATTCAGAACAATGAGATGAGGCTTAGGAACCTCCAGGACAACCTTAAACGTTCCAACATCCGTATCATAGGGGTGCCAGAAGGAGAAGAGGAAGAGCAAGAATTTAGAAACTTCTTTGGAAACATAATGAAGGAGAACTTCCCCAATCTGGCAAAGGAAATAGACTTCCAGAAAGTCCAGGAAGCTCTGAGAGTCCCAAAGAAGTTGGACCCAAGAAGGAACACACCATAGCATATCATAATTACATTAGCCAAGGTAAAAATGAAGGAGAGAATCCTAGAAGCAGCAAGAGATAAGGAGACAGTTACCTACAAAGTAGTTCCCATCAGACTGTCAGCTGATTTCTCAAAAGAGACCTTACAGGCAAGAAGGGGCTGGAAAGAAGTACTCCACATCTTGAAAGGCAAGGACCTACATCCAAGGTTGTTCTATCCAGCAAAGCTTTCATTTAGAATGGAAGGGCAGAGAAAGTGCTTTCCAGATAAGGTCAAGTTAAAGGAGTTCGCCATCACCAAGCCCTTATTATATGAAATGTTAAAGGGACTTATCTAGGAAAAAGAAGATCAAAAATGTACAGTAAAATGACAGTACACTCACAATGATTAACAACCACACCTAAAACAAAACCAAAACAAACTAAGCAAACAACTAGAACAGGAACAGAACCACAGAAATGGAGATCACATGGAGGGTTGGCAACAGGGGAGTGGGAGGAGGAAAGAGGGAGGAAAAGGTACAGAGAATAAGTAGCATAAATGGTAGGTAGAAAATAAACAAGGAGGTTAAGAATAGTGTAGGAAATGTAGAAGCCAAAGAACTTACATGTATGACCCATGAACATGAACTAAGGTGGGGGAATGTGTGTGGGAGGGGGTGTGCCAGGTGGAGGGGAGTAAAGAGGAGAAGAGGGACAACTAATAGCATAATCAATAAAATATATTTTAAAAAATGTAAAAGAATAAATATTAAAATAGCAAATTACATCTGTTTTATTGAGATCTAACTTTTGTTTTAGTCTTCAGCCTTCCCTTTCCTGATATATTCTTCATATTATAATCAGAGTGATCCCTCTAAAACACAAACCTGATCATATCACTTACTTGTTTAAACAATTCAGTGACTACCCATTGTCCATAGAATAGAATCTAGGTTTTTTATGGTACCTGCACTTTCAGCA